CAGGGACACCTCACACTAAACCATGTCACCCAAGGCTTCGTCCAACCTGGCCTTGAACACCACCAGGGATGGAGCATTCACAGCTTCCCTGGGCAACCCATTCCAGTGCCTCACCACCCTCACAGTAAAGAACTTCTTCCTCATATCCAAGCTAAACTTCCCCTGTTTAAGTTTTAACCCATTACCCCCTGCCTTATCACTAAAGTCCCTAATGAAGAGTCCCTCCCCAGCATCCCTATAGCCCCCCTTCAGATACTGGAAGGCTGCTATGAGGTCTCCATGCAGCCTTCTCTTCTCCAGGCTGAACAGCCCCAATTTTCTCACCCTATCTTCACACAGGAGGTGCTCCAGTCCCCTGATCATCCCCGTGGCCCTCCTCTGGACTTGTTCCAACAGTTCCATGTCCCTTTTGTGTGAAGGACACCAGAACTGCACACAGTACTCCAGGTGAGGTTTCACAAGAGCAGAGTTGAGGGGCAGGATCACCTCCTTCAACCTGCTGGTCACGCTCCTTTTGATGCAGCCCAGGATACGGTTGGCTTTCTGGGCTGTGAGCACACACTGAAGCCGGCTCATGTTCATTTTCTCATCGACCAACACCCCCAAGTCCTTCTCTGCAGGGCCACTCTCAAATCTCTTCTCTGCCCAACCTGTAGCAGTGCCTGGGATTGCCCCAACCCAGGTGTAGGACCTTGCACTTGGCATGGTTAAACTTCATGAGGTTGGCATCAGCCCACCTCACAAGCGTGTCAAGGTCCCTCTGGATGGCATTCCTTCCCTCCAGCGTATCAACCAAACCACACAGCTTGGTGTCGTCAGCAAACTTGATGAGGGTGCACTCAATCCCACTGTCCATGTCAGCAACGAAGATGTTGAACGAGACAGGTCCCAACACCGATCCCTGAGGGACACCACTCGTTACTGGTCTCCAGCTGGACATTGAGCCATTGACCACAACTCTCTGTGTGCAGCCATCCAGCCAGTTCTTTATCCACCGAGCGGTCCACCTATCAAATAGATGTCTCTCCAATTTAGAGACAAGGATGTCGTGTGGGACAGTGTCGAATGCTTTACACAAGTCCAGGTAGATGACCTCAACTGCTCTACCCCTGTCCATCAGTTCTGTAGCCCCATCATAGAAGGCCTCCAAACTGGTCAGGCAGGATTTCCCCTTAGTGAAGCCATGCTGGCTGTCACCAAGCACCTTGTTTTTCATGTGCCTTAGCATGCCTTCCAGGAGAATCTGCTCCAAGATTTTGCCAGCCACAGAGGTGAGACTGACTGCTCTGTAATTCCCTGGGTCATCCATTTTCCCCTTCTTGAAAATGGGGGTTATATTTCTCTTTTTCCAGTCATCGGGAACTTCACCTGACTGCCATGATTTCTCAAATATGATGGCCAGTGGCTTAGCAACTTCATTCGCCAGCTCCTTCAGGACCCGCAGATGGATTTCATCAGGTCCCATAGACTTGTGTAGGTTCAAGCTCTTAAGATGGTCTCAAACCAGATCCTCTCCTACAGTCGGCCTAGGGTCTTCATCCCCATGGTCCCTGCATCTGCCTTCCAAGACTTGGGTGGTATGGTCAGAGCCTTTGCCATTGAAGACTGAGGGAAAGAAGTCATTGAGAACTTCAGCCTTCTCCAAATCCAGGGTAGCCGGTTCTCTGGAGAGCTTCTGGAGACAGCCCATGTCATCCCTAGCCTTTTATTTGCAATGTACCTATAGAATCCCTTCCTTATCTTTCACATCCCTAGTCAAGTTTAATTCTAACTGGGCCTTAGCCTTCCTAACCTGGTCCCTAGCTTACTAGACCACATCCCTGCAATCTTCCCAGGCCGCCTGTCCTTGCTTCCAACTTTGATCATAAGATGTGATTACTTAAAACGGCACATTAGGATTCATTCTTTAGAGAGAGGTGGGGATGCTACTGAGTTCTCACATACATTTTTTTTCTATTTGACCATCACCAGTATAAAAATTGTTCTCCTGCAGATCCATTTTTGGGAACAAGTAATGAATATTTTAATATCACTGCTAGACATTTATGTTGAGCCTTATTTGGAAAACAGTATTGAGCAATTCCATACTGCAGTTTTCAAGTGATTAAGGCATGTATTTAATGTTTCTCAGTGAAACTTAAGGTTCTGAATACAGAAGAGCCTTTTGAAAAGGGACTTGATTTCAGTTTAATAAATTGAAAAAAAGAGGTGCTTCACTGAAAAGAAAAGCCATTTGAAGATTTAAGAAACAACAGATAATGTGGATTTTTAATTTATGAGTATTTACACATACTTAAACTTAGATTTTCCAAAGATCTAAATGTCTAAGTATCTCTAGACTGTTTAGAAATCCATACCTTAATTTATTTATATTTTACTAACTTAGTTATACTAAGTCTTTCTGTCCAAAATCTATGAATACAGCAGTTTCAAAATGTGTCAGAGCTCTTAAGCCACCTGCTCCCAAAGCAGTCAGCAATGTTGGTTAGTGATCTAGTGATCATGAAAAAGTCCTTCTAAGCCTTGTGATATGTTCTTCATTTTGAGAAGGTAAACAAGTACAGAGATTATTCTTTCACACACAAGTACACCATGTCAGGAGTTTCCCTACTGGTATGCTCTATTTACATGTGAAACTTAGGACAAGTGTTGAGGAATACCCTTAGGAATTTAAGGATCATTACCAGGATCTAAAGCAAAAGATTCTCCAACCCCAAAGTTATCCTAACTTGCTTCACTGAAACAAAGTCAATACCCTTGTGTTTTAAAAGACCTCTCTGCACACAGTATAAAGTTTCACTTCAGTGAGGGAACTTTCATATGTTCCTTTTCAGAGTAGAACCTCAGTGCAAGGACCGGCTTTACAAAACTGCATGACATCTGTGGCAGCTCAAAACCTTGAAAAATCATGAATGAGAAAAGTAACATAAAACCACAAAAGATTTCTTCTTTTATTCATCACGAGAGATATTCACATGTGACAATAAAGGCTTTTTAAATGAGTAATATAGGATTTTCAAATTAGTAAGTGCTATAAACTATGAAGCCCACTATGAATCTCACTTGAGTTGGACTTGCTGATCCTAAATCATTTAGATTGCACAAAAAATTCCACACTCTGGTGAATTAAGTCTTGCAGTTCAGCAGACATCTAGAAAAGAGTTTTATTTTCACACACAGCAGGAAAATGCTGCTGCAACATATTATGGAGTGTTGCCACATGCAAACAACTGTTAGTGGAACAAACTATTTGTGAACTAACATCATCTGGAAAATTCTATTCAACAAAAATAGAAATCCGTATTTTTTTATCACTACACAAACATTTTAAAACATCAGTCTCTATTGCAGTATTTTGCTCAAGTCCTTACATTCCTTTTAGAAAGGCATAATCTTTCTGAATAGGCTTTCAATACCCAGAGAATCATTGCTTCTTTCAAGTTCTTTCAATATCACAGTACCAAAGCACGTAGGGACTGGAACTATATATTTTTGTAATTAATTTCCTTAAGATAATGTTAGAAACATCAGATTCCTTAAAATATAGATGAATTTCAAGGTGAATCTGCAGCAGATGTTATTAATGGCGTATGATTTATTGTGACATGAAATCTGATCTGAAACTCATGTTATTATCTGAGCTTTTTATAAATTATAATTGCCAACTGCTGAAAATATGCAGAAAGACCACTGATAAACTAGCTTCATCTTCAGGGCCTAGACAATCCATATTTGCTAAATGTCCAATACCTCTAGCTCTGCTGAATGAGTATAATACATTGGGGTGCACAGATCAGGTTTGATTTTTTACATAATGTAATTCTTTCAGAATGAGAAGCATCAGAGGTAGGTAGAATTCATAAAAAAATAAATGTTTACTGTGGAACTTGAAAAGAAACATACACTTGGGTTCACAGTCTGTCATTGCACATATTCTAAACAGATTGAGTATTTCAGGGAAAAAAATCTCTGACTGTTAAATGGAAAATGTATAATTCAACATGAAAACAGTAAGAAGTTAGGTAATATTCAAAAATCATTCTGCACAGCTCTAAGAAGACAGCACAAACAGCATATTTTATCATCCTAAAGTCTACGAAGATTTGCATCTACACAAGACTTTCCACGTCACTCCCATGAAAAACTAAAGAAAGTCTACAGGTAAGCTCACAATGACAAAAACATTTGTGTTAATAACTATTTCCAGATATTCTGTTTATTCCTAATAACTTTCTATCTTACTTTCCGCCCTCAGGTGCCTTTAAATGTTAATTAAAGTTTCTGAAATGTTAGTTTTACCTATCACAACTTATGTGCTAAATTACCTAAATAAGAAAAGACAAACAAGCATTGCATTATGAATATTATATACTCAACAAACCAGATATTGAAAGAAGGTGAATTTACAGCACATGTTGTAATACATTTTTAATCTCCCGAAAAGCTCTGAGATAATACTGCAAATTCAAAAAGCAAAACAAGGAACAGATGCGAAGTCTAATTCCCGACTTATTTTACATATTCAAAGTTATTTAATGATAAAAGCATTTATGTGTAAAATGGCATTCACTTGCCCTTACTAAGAGTATATATGGAAGAGCCCCCTGTCAATGTACTAGTGTGCGTGTGGGAATGAAACATAAGGATCACCATCTGCAGCTGTCTAATAAGTGCTCTTCAGTGCCTAATGGCAAAGTGTCAATTCAGGGATCCTCAGATACCATAATGCATCATCTTGTCCATGCTAGTCTTACAAGTCAAACATTTAACATGTGAGAACAGTTTATTTATAATGCTATTCATTTCAGTTGAAATACCAGATATAAAACAGTTACCCTACAAGCAGTCTGGGAGCATATACTTAATATAAAATGCACCAATTTTCTCTTTTTTTATAAGAATCAGTATTTTAAAGGATGTGCAAAATTTAACCTCTCCCAGAACATACCTGAGTAACATGGAAAAAATCTTTTCGTATGTAGGTATTTTTAGATTCTTACCTACTGTTGAACTTCTCTGGATGTTTTTCTCTCATGATATGGAATCTGTGAGCAATTGAAGCATCCTAACAGGAAAAAGAAAACCATAAATCTATTGTGACAGGAAATCACAAAATAGAAGTCCAAAACTGTGAACAAGACCTATGGTTTGTAAGGTGTTCTGCGAAATGTCATTTTCAACAAAAACAATACTTTTATCAAGAAGGCTTAAAGGTACACTGTAGGAAGAATGGGATATATCTGAACTTAATCGTTTATCACCCTTGTTACAGTCTCCATTATTTCTTTTTACAAATCAGACAAGATAGTTTCAGTTTACTGAAAGTTTCTTCAACATCTGCACCATTCAAATCTGGTGAAGGTTTACAATAAGACCATTCACACTGTTCTTTCTTGTAAGAGTACTTACTAAAGTCTATGAAATCTGTTCCTTTAGTACAGATGAGTGATGCAGCAGAGTTACTCTACATGCATATAACTTGATATTTGCATATGGCCATTCAACAGCTTTCTCTAGAAAACTGGAATGAATTGTAGAAAAATTGGTAGAAAATGGAAATAAATGTCAGGAGATCCCCAATTTAATTAAATTAAATACATGTTATCAAACTATTTAAAAATTTAGTAAATTATGTTAATACTACATTTAAATAATGTGTATGTGAGATGAAATAGCTGCATGAAATACTTGGACGTGTATAACATTTTAAAGAAAATCAAACCACTGTGGTGTGGTGTTGCTGAAAGTAGAGTATTTGGAACTGATGTGCTAGAATCAATCTTCAAAGCATTTTAGTATCTCCTTTGCAGTTATGAAAATAATGTTTTCCTCATTCCAGATCATGTAATATTTATTTCACATAAGAATCATTAACAATTTGCAAACTAGGAATTAAGAACATAAAAAGTTTCTTCATCTTTTAATGTATGTATTAAATGAGGTGTGAGGATATGAAACCTACCAACTCCGAAGTCTTGTGATAGTAAATACAGAGAAATCCATTTGGATCATGCTGTTATAATTATGTCTTAAAATGCTGCATATATATGAATATATACATGTATTTATAAGAAAAGTTAGTTCAGTTACTATGAACTTTAGATGAATTCCACTTTTCAGGTAAAGAGAGTCTAAGAAACTAAAAATAGAACTACTGCTATAACCAACTATCACGTATTTGAAAAAATACGTTATTTATCAACTGAAAAGATCATGGAAGTACAAAATCCAAGAATTTGGGTATTTCAGGATGAAATCTGTATCTAGCAACAAATTAAACACTTTAAATACTTAAATTTTATATTGCTGCTACTGCCAAACATGTTTAAAATATTTTGTTTAGCATCATCTTTATTTAAATCAATGTTATATAAATCTCAGTAAGCAAGCAAGTACTCGGTGCAGATATATAGGTACCCACTAATATCAAACATGGCTGCAAAACTTTACATCCAAACAGCTTTTATTTACTAGAATCTTATGTAGGGTGCGCTCTGGAGAACAGAATGGTTCAGCCTTAAGGTTTGACTTACTAACTCATGGATACTTTGAAAAAAATAAATGTATGAACTTTAATACCTTGTTAAAGATAAAATTGTGCAGACCAATTGCTAACATTTAAATAAGATTAAGATTATGAACAAAAAAAAACCCAACCCAAAACCCGTAAATCCACATATTTTTTATACACTCCACTACAAAAGGATATAGCATAGTATAGAATTTTTAGGCAAAACTTGTGATCACTGATCAAATAAAATCCATTAGTGACATCATTAAATGTATTTCTCCCTTGAGATATTCACTTTTATTCATGCTCTTGTTATACAGTTTTCTAAAGATGTACATAGTCCGTTGTTTTATTCACATCATAGTATTTTTTGATTAAGAATGGAATTGTCATTTAACATTTTACTGTTCTACAAGGAAATGACAGCAAAAATCCCTAGAAGAATGGAATGGTGTTAGTCACAAAATGCCTTATTGCTCTGTCCTGTCACTCAAACCATCTTCTGAAACTTTCAGTGCTACATTCTCAAACTGCACTCATCATTACTTTAGATTTATTTTTATGTGCAATTGTATAAGGCAAATATCCACAAGTATCCAGGTGATCCCACAGTTCTTGGAGACGGATGAAATAAAGCTGACAGTAAACCCTGAGACATCACACTCCTAAACAAAGCCTGCCAGCTGAACTAAAATAATAACTCTGTTAACTTTAGAAAGACCCATCATTCATACTTTATCCCACATTAGATGTGCCAACATGAGAAAAGTATATTTGTTAGCCAGTTCTATATGAAAAAGAAATGAAAGGACTACTGTTGTAGCTAACTGTTCATTTTCTATATACTGAAGAAGAGACAGACCCAAGATAAAACAAATAAAGGAGTAGTAACATATTTGACAGACACTAGGAAACACTAATCAAGGACTAACTGTCTAATGAATGAAATGAAAAGGCTAATGCGCTTACTCATGCATAACAAATGCAAGGCACAAACAAGCTAGGGATCAATGCCCACTGCAGATGGCAAACAGGCAGTTGTTTCCATGCAAAACTGATTTGATCAAAATTTTCCCCTGCCTGAACATTTTCTGACTCCGAATCTCCAAAAAAGTAATACACAAAGCTAATTTTGACAGGCATGCACATGTCAGAACAATTTAATAAAAAAACTGTTGAAAGGCTATTTTTACTAATGGAGACTGCAAACCAGAGAAGTAACTACACGCACAAGCTTGAAAGCAGGGAAGCTGCTAAGGCTTTCCTCAGTTTATACTGCACAACTGCCCTCTTGAACCCTTAATTAAATCCAACATAGACAGCCCTTAGATTGCTTAGCAAGAGGACCTCTTCCCAACCATAACGCCATGCTACAGGAAAAGTTCACTGCATGTTAGCAAAAAAATCTTTTGCTTTAGGGAAAAAAAAAAAGGAAAAAAAATAAAAACCGACACCGACTTTTCTGGTTTTCAAATGTCTGTAATCTCACTGTTAAGATAGTAGCATATAGAATAGTATAAATAAATAACAACTGGAAGACTTCAAAGTAACAGGAACCTGAGTGGTAAGGAATGCAAGTTCTGTCTAAGAGCCGCAGGAATCACTAGATGGAATCCCTGAATCCTGAAGAACAAACATGAAAAGTTTTGTATTTCTGGATGAGAACAGAGCGTTCTTCACCGTGAGCTGTTTCAGCTACATTTGAAATAGGATTCATTTTAGCAGACTTCATTCATCCGTTTCAAAATGAGGGATCTAGCCTGACCTGTTAAGAGCATACAACTGTTGTTGAATCAATGGAGAATGAATTTTTTTTTTGGTCACAAACAATATTACAATCACCTAATTAGCTATTCTAAGAAACAGAGCAATATCCCCATGGTAAGTCGAAAATTGTTTGCATAATGCTGACCATTCCTGGTACCTGATATTGTGGGTAGCCAGTAAAGTATGAGAAATTATTTTTGTCTTCTATAATAAAAATTATGTAGAAGAGAAAACCAAAGAGTCACCACACATGTTTCATGGTATTACCTAGCAAGATAACAAGTGAACAGGTTTCTTTAGAAAGATCATCTGACAATCAGATATTGGTTTATAATTAATACCACCTGTGGGCATTATTTATTAATTTTTATTAATAAACTGATATGTATCCTAGCCTGAAATACAATTTTCCAGCAGTGCAATACCTGAATCTAAGTATTTTCCATTTTTAAAAATAATGCACCATAAGCATACATAAACATGCCTAAAATTTGCAAGACCTTTATGATTAATAACAATCTCAGGAGATACAATGCTACCAGGCCTGTTGCAAGGTGAAAGGAGGAGGGAAGGCTTTCAGGATCACTGTAATATGACCTTTCACTACGCCATTAGTTTAGTCACAAAGCTCATTTTATACCTAAAACATTGTAATACTTTTCACCAAGGCATCCAGAAATGGAGATTTTTTTTCTCAGGAGCACTTCTGCAACAAAAGCAATGCTGGTGTGCAAAGTAATGCTGAATAAAGAGCATTTAAAGCAGAACTATGTAACTAATTAGACAATTTTGTGTTTCTGAGAATGTTATATGAATATTTGAGTTGTATGCTACTACTCTGAAATACTTAATTTCTTTTTAAAGCTATACAGTATTTTTAGTCATTTACATGTCATATGTGATGTATGACAATACCCTGGACAATGACAGTTCCTTTGAACTTTCATTTTATAGTATCAACAATCTAATCTGAGAAAAAAACCCCACACCTTGTTCCCTTTTGTATGCCTCTCTAGCTTAGATGGCTTCCACTCCACTGCAGCATTTTGAAAGTACAGATGAAGGAATGGATGTCTAAAGAACACAAAACGCAGCTTACCCTTGTTCAAATTCTACAGAATTGTGAACAGACTTTTAAAAAATGTACCTCTGTATCTCCAAATATTCAACCTGGAAATATGCATGATAAACATGTAGACATATACACGCATATAAACCCTTATTTTGAACCTGTTCAGAGTCTGAAGTAGTTGGACTATCCTTCTTACATCTCACTCAGGTTTGTTTTAAATCCTGACAGTGAAGATAAGATAGAGAACAGACAGAGCATATCTGAATCTACTCCTAGGAAATGGAAAAAATATTTTAATTGAACTAGAACATTTCTCAAAGTGACCTGCCAAGAAGAAAAGAAGCTTAAGTTGCTACACCTTTTTAATACCTTATGATTGACTTACACACATATATATTCATCTTTTTAATGGGTATTAGCATTACCGGAAAGCAATCTGAAGCAGTCTTTTCAGAGGAGTAACCTTATACATTGTGAATAACCTTATAGAAAGATTAATGCATTTAATATATGTCTAACTATAAGCTTGATGTGATTAAAATTTCCATTAAATAATAATTTTTATGCTGGTGAACAAACAAATGACCACTGTGCATCTTCTTTGGGTATAAATGGTCTGATTATTTTTTTCTAAGATGCTTCTTTAATTAAGGCTTAATGGATCCACAAGGCTAGGAAGCTTAAAGGATAATTCAGCAACCTGTAATCTTTGGAT